ATGCAGGGATGATGAGGATGCAGGGATGATGGGGATGCAGGGATGATAAGAATGCAGGGATGATAAGAATGCAGGGATTATGAGGATTGCAGGGATGAAGTTGCAGGGATGATGAGGATGCAGGGAGGATGGGGATGCAGGGATGATGCGGATGCTGTGTGATGAAGTTGCAAGGATAACTTTACAGGGATGATGAGGATGCACAGAGGATGATGTTGCAGCTGTGATGAAATTGCAGAGATGAATTGCAGGAATGATGAGGATGTAGGGGTGAAGTTTCAGAAATTATGAGGATGCAGGGATGAAGTTGCAGAGATGAGGAGGATGCAGGGATGATGGGSATGCAGGGATGATGAGGATTGCAGGGATGAAGTTGCAGGGATGATGAGGATGCAGGAATGAAATCTCAGGGACAAGAAGAGTGCAGGGATGATGATGATGCTATGGGGATGCTGAAGATGCACCTGCAGGGATGACGAGGATGTAGGGATGGAGATGKTGCAGGGATGATGGGGATGCAGGTATAAAGTTGCAGGAATAATGAGGATGTGGGAATCAAGTTTCAGGCATAACAAGGATGCAGCGATGATGAGGATTCAGGGAAGATGTTGCAGGAATGATAAGGATGCAGGGAGAATGATGCTGCAGYTGTGATGAAATTGCAGATGAAGTTACAGGGATGAAGCTGTAGGGATAATGAGGATGCAGCGATGAAGTTGCAGGGATGATGAGGATGACAGGGATGGTGATGTTTCAGGGATGATGGTGATGCAGCTATGATGAAGTTGCAAGGATAACATTTCAAGGATGATGAGGATGTAGGGATGGTGATGGTGCAGGGATGAGGATGCAGGGATAATGAGAAATCAGGAATGAAGAAAATTCAGGGATGAASTTGCAGGGATGATGAGAATGGCAGGGATGGTGATGTTGCAGGGATGATAAGGATGCAGCTATTATGAAGTTGCAGGGATGATGAAGTTGCAGGGATGATGAAGATGCAGCTATGATGAAATTGCAGAGATGAATTGCAGGAATGACGAGGATGCAGAGATGATGAAGTTGCAGCTATGATGAAGTTTCAGGGATGATGTTGCAGGGATGGTGAGGATGCCTGGAGGATAATGTGATGAAATTGCAGAGATGAATTGCAGGAATGATGAGGGTGCAGGGATGAAGTTGCAGGGATGGTGAGAACACAGRGATGATGATGTTATAGTGATGCTGAGGATGCATCTGCAGGGAAAATGAGAATGCAAGGATGCAGGAATGATGCTACAGGGATGCTAAAAGCCAGCAGAGAAAGGAAAGAGATGGGAATTCCTGCCAGGAGCAAAGATCCCCTTGCAGGGCAGGGCAGCACTGAGGAAAGGAGCTCCCAGAGGGGCTCAGAGCTCTGAGCACGGATCCCAGCCCCAGCAGTTGTTCAAGCACTGGCTCATCCTGAATGCCAGCAGGACCATTCCCRGCCTTAAAGCTTCAGGGCTTTCTGCTTTATTGGGAATTAAACCCCTCCCACCTGCCAGCTGGGAAGGGCTCCAAGCTTCCAGGACCCTCAAGGGTCATGAGAGTGTTACACACTCAGTAAATAATCATACAAATAAAATCCAAACRGCACCTTCAGCTCAGGAAACGCCACTGGTTTGGGCAGGGACATGACGATGGAGTTGGGACTCTGCAGATGAAGTAGTAAATAACAATTCTAACTCCCATTAGGCAAACCCAGTGCTTTGGGGTGCTCTGGAGCCCTTCCAAGCTGGGTCCTTGCCTGTGAAGAAAGAAATGCCAAATCCTCAGCCTGACAATGGGGTCATTTCTCTGAATGCAGTAAGAACAGCAGTGGGAGTGAGAAGTCAGGAGCAACCAGGAGCTATCACTGCTCCGGCTCCTGAAGGGATCCAGATGTCTTTCCATCGTACAGGGGTGAGGAAATCCTCTCCATCCCAAGAGAAATAGAGGATATTAAACAGCAGCCACAAAAATTAGATGTTTTTAAATTGGCTGAGCCAAATAACTTCTGTCTGAGCGCTCAGAGCTGGCGAAGCAGCTCCTGGGAGTGTGAGAACTGAGCATCCTGAGTCCTTCYAGAGGACTGGAAAACAGCTCCTGTTTGGGACAGTTTTTTAAGGGATAAATAAAGTCACCTGCAAAAATGATGGTTCTGGCCATCTGTCACTGACCCCAAACAATGTGCTGGAATGGCTGAGAGCCTTCACRCAGAATTAAAGAGGAAGATTTAATTGATGCCAATCAACAGCAGGGTTAGGGAAAACAGATCTTACCAAATTAACTGATATCTCTGCCTGAGTCCCATGCTTGGCTGATAAAGGTGATTGTGTAAAGCTCTCCTCCAAGGGGATTTCATGGCTGCTTGGTTAAGAAAACCAAGAAATAAAGCCAAATTCCCAGAAGATCTCCCAAGTGAGAAACCCAGCTGGACCCAGGTTGTGCTCCCCACTCGCTCCTCCTCGGGCTCGCTGTGCTTTCTCAGAGCATTTCACAACCAGGATGGGAGAGAGACCCCTGAAAATTTCCAGCCCTGGGAGAGAGCAGCCCAGGCTTGTTTCTGGTGGTGTAGAAAGAAGATTTTCTCCCTTAATTCCAAAGGATTTGAAGAGTGGAATATAATTCAGGTGCCTGCACCCACCAAAGCACAGGCAGAGGTAGAGCTGCCCTCAAACCTGCAATGCTTCATCCAGTTCACAGCRACTCCTTCCTCATCCCTCCTGCAAACTCCAATTTCAAGCATTTCAAGCCCAAATTTCTTATGTTCAGACCTGCTGCACCAGTGTGAGATTAAACTGTTACAGAGCCACAGTGGCAACTCCAAACTGAGAGCAGCAAGGAGGGAGCAGAGGGTTCYCAACCCTAAATCCACAGAGATTGCAGGAGAAAGGGGACAGAAGGGTGGAAAAGGGAAGATGAAGAGTGAAGAAACCACAGGAGGGAGGATGGTGATGGGAACAGAGCTGAAGACAGAGCTGGCAGCTATGTAAAACCTCGGGATTCCCTCCAGCCAGGGGAAATAACTGAGATTATTGGGGTCTTTTCCAGCCTCAAGAAAGYTGAATCCCATAAAACCTTTGGAGGAGTCCTTGTTTCTCGCTCTGKGTTTCAAAGCTGCCTCTTCCTTCCATGGGAATTTCATTGCAAACTCTTCCCGAAGGTGCTCGGGGTCMTTTACAGATGGGGAAACTGAGGCAKGGAGCAGCCAACCTGCCCAAAGCCAGGGAGCAAACCTCACAGGGCACCAGCTCTGGGAGCAGGGACACATTTCCATGGGCTGCCAACCCAAATCCCCCTGAATGGCAGAGCATCCTCCACCTCCCACCCTGCACTCGGATCCTTCCTTGCACCAAGATCGAGAGAGCAAACTCAGCTCCCTGCAAGTGCAGAAATGGCTTTGCAAAATGTGTGTCCATCGCATCCATCCTCCATCCCAAACTCTGGCTTCCCGTGGAGCAACACCCCAAGCACAGACCCTGCTGCAGCAGCCTCGATCCCACTGAGCCCTCGGTGATCCCACCACTGACCAAACCACCACAAAACCCCAAAGGATTTTCCTTATTTATCC